ATTCCTGCGATTAAAAAGCACATATAAAACAGTAAGTGATGCAGTGTTAACATTCACACATATTTTGCTCCAATTACCTGGCACTTAAGAAAAAGAATAAGAACTGAGGAAGAAGCAGCCAAACACATGCAAGTGGCATTTTGTTTAAATCATTTAGCTCTGGATACAGAATATGATGTAGCTATTTATATAGAAATCAGCTCCAAATATTTCACTCTCTACAACCTTTCTGGTCTAACTTTGGAGGAAGGAGAATTGTTTCTGAACAATTATCTGACATGTTACACATTCTGCAATGCCAAGTCTTGAGACAGGATTGCTGTATCAGAAAAAGAAATTGATTAAAGTTGCATGACAGAGAATAGCTTGTTAATGGTGAAATGGGTCCAGAATTAGCTTTGGAGAAGGCATGGTCTGCTCTAGCCTGCAAATGACTTCTTCCATTAATAACAAATACTAATCTAAAATCCAGCAAAGTAACAAACACTCCCATGCAAAAAGCTGAAAATGCAGAAGCAACAGCATAAAATAATTTTCTATTGATCTCTTCAGGCTGTGATCAAGTTAAAATGTTCAACTTTCCCTTGAGATGGAGAGGGAGGGATTGTTGCTGAAAAGAACAGTCTAGGCAGCAAAACGAGTTCTAGCTATGCTACTCTACAGAACTGCCATGATGGGAACAATAACATACTGTCAGAAACAAAAGGTGTTGTTACAAAGGAAGTGAAAGTGTCTGCTTGATAACACTGTATGTTATTTAATATCGTCATGCAGAACAAAACGATTGAAACATTTTTAATGCATTCACAGCTGGGTAACAAATAAAACTCTATCTTGTGCATGCTAGGATTGGAGGGTCCTCAGAGAAGGAACAGAAGCCAAAACAAAACAAAACAAAAATAGATTTACAGTGACCATTCCTGGGAACTTACTCAGAGTCTTTGTTCCATAACCGTCGTCACCTAATCCGGGGATGTCCTGCACGGAAGTCCCCAGAGAGAGCAATGAGAAAGGAAGAACAGCCGCAGAAGAGGAAGGAAGAAGTCAGTGGAGTTGAAATGGATACTACCATGACTGACCATGTTGATTGAGCAATCTGGATCCTTGCTTTTTCTTTCTGAAACAATTTTAAACCCATATTCTATGGGAAATGCAGCCAATGAAAGAGGTAGTGACCATGATACAAGACTTTTGGAGCTGTGAGGAAGAAGGAACAACCAGATAAATGAATTCCCAGAAATGATCCTCACCGGATAAATTTAGGAGAGAATGATTAAGAAAAAAAGTGAATATTTGGGTTTGTATCCAGCATATACTTTTAATAATGCTGGTTCTCTACACAATTTAATCAAGCAGTAAATGGCCGGGAAGGTGCACATTCCAAGATCTGATTTACTTCTTTAAGCTGTTAGCACAAATGTTTCATTTAGTTCTTAAATGTTCAGTGAAGTTGCCCATGGCATTCAACTTGGAGAATGTCAAAGGCAAAAAAGAGAGTAGAGCAGAACTTTTAAAAAGTAATAATTTAGTTTAGTATTCTGAAAGAAATAATGTTTGCATTCTTTTGAGCCAGTTCTGATCTGGGAATATTTAATCAGAGACAAGTTTGGATTTATGACACAAGAACTCTGAGGAGCTACATTTGCTCTTCCAAAAGTTAAGGTCACTGTTTTATTCTTCTGAATATGATGTTTCCAGGGAAGGAAGGACCAGCTGGATCCAAACTGCAGTCACACATTGGTCACAGTAGTAATACCTGTCCTGCCTGCCTACGACAGATAGTTGCCTAGATGTGTGGGATACTGGCATCATGCGTGTCACCCATTTTTTTGTGCTGCTGCATGTGACATCGTCTCCAAGAGGTTACTTACGTTCTGGATCACTTGTTTCCTGCTCACTCTGCTCCTTGCTCTTGTAGAATGGGAATTTTCGTGAAAAGATGAAGTTCTTTTTACGCTTGTCATTGAATGACTGTGAAGGAGAAAAGGCATGGGGCAAAAACAGGGACGTCTAATTGTTGTCACACTCATGCTGACAAAACAACTAGTTTGTAAAAGTGGAGAGAACTGTGGTGACTCAAATCAGTCCAAACCAAGTGGTTGCAAACAGTCAGAGATGGTCGCGGTGAGGTCTGCAGGTTGAAGGCAAAACCCTTGGAGACCGGATCGATTCGATTACAGAGGTCTCAAATCACAACCTTCAGCTCCTTAGTTGGAAATTATTGTGTTTGGCTTGTTCAGATACAGGGCTACAGGTGGCTCAGCATGCTTTGGGATCAAGCCACTCATCTTTAATCATAGCAGACTGTGCACAGAATTAATTAACTGCCTGAAACAGAATAGTCCGTAAAGGGGAAAGTGGAAGCCTTTGATTTACTTGTTAGTAGGTATGTGAATTCAGCCCTGTGCCAATTAATTTTTTTTTTTTCCCGATAACTGCTGCTGATTTCATAGTGTTTTATTTGGCCTCTTAATTGACAACTTCTTAAGTGTGTTTCAATGCTTTTTTTTTTAATAATTAAAAAAGACTTTGTTTTATTTTATATATATATATTTACTCATTAGGTTCCTCTCGTTATTCTTTTAGTTTTATGTGATTTATGTGATTAGAGATGGAATTCAGCTGATAAGCAGTATTTCATTGCAAGTTGAGCAACATATATTGCTTTAATTCTTCAAAGGGGGAATTAATATGGAAGAAATTGTGGGGTTTTTTGCATGATAAAACCTTTGATTTTATAGACAAAAAGCTCATAACACTGTACTATGTAAAAGTAGGATATCCCTCCTTGGGACATCTATTTCACTTAATAAATAAGGAATTAAAGTCCCTATACAGTCAATTGAGAAAAACTGGCATTTCCAGAGGGCATCTATGCAGAGCTGCAGATAGTGCTTATCTGAAGTGATCTGTGTTGTCCATCAGATGATGTCCTACACTGTTTCCTATATTGAACATATACAATGCCCAGACACAGGACTTTTCACGTGATCACCTCCAAGAGAGCAAAGATCCTCTCAACTTATTTAAATGACCAATCATCTCATGTGTTTGTCATAGTTCAAATGAAAGTTAACAAGTATTTGGCTCCAATTCTGAAATGGAAGAGATTTAGAATTTCAGAACATAATTTATTTTCTTACATTTTGGAAGCACAGCATAAAATGTGATTTAGAATAGGTATTTCTGAAAGATAAAGATAGGTACTGAAAATCTCTATTGAAATAGTTGTCTACTTGTGTCACAAAAGTTTCATGCCACTTTTACATTTCAAGCATATTTAAAATTCAGTAACTGAAAATAAAGGAAAAAAAAAATGCACGTGTAGAATAAATGATCCATGAAAATCTCTCAGAGTATGTAAACATTCAATGTGAAATTAATGAGGAGGTCATGCACAAATAATCCAGACAGCATGCAATTTCAAAACAAAGCAAATATGAAAGAAAGCCAGAGGAAAAAAAAATGCAAATGAACCATTAAAGTAATCTGTGGATGAAAAGAGGACTGACATGCACATTACATCACTTTAATGACCTAAAGGATATAATTAAATTAAAATGTGTTTTCTGTGATAATTTCTTTTATTTTTCCAAAGAAAGGAATGTAGCATGTTAACATTTCCCATTGTGAAAATGTTTGTCACGATTCATCTGAGTTTGGCATAGTAATACTATAGGCATTACACTTAAAAAAAAATAAAATATATATATAGAGAGAGACACAATAGCACCTCAAAAACAAAGGGGTTTTAAGATGACAATCACTTAATTATCAAATGCCATTTCACTTTGGAATTAAAGAGAATGTTATCAAATTGATAAATAAATATGCAGTGTTTCACAGAGATTATACGATAAATAACACTTATAAGTATTCTTTTTCAATTTTTTCCCCAGCAGTCTAGAGCAAAAACTTCAGAAAGTCCATTTTCACCAGAAAAGCATATATTTTTTTCAAGCTTATGCACGTTCTAACAGTATATTCCAAATTAGACAGATATACTATAGTTATATAATTTTTTTCTCCTTTTGCAATTTCAAGCACTATGTTGCCTTTTTAATATGATATTGTTCCACTTCAATTTGAACAATAAAAATCTGGCAATTTATACCAGTTGACTATTATGTCCAACTGTGTCACTGCATTTACATCAGTAAAAAGCCTTGTTCCTAAAATAAGGCTGGCTCTCAGTTTATCAATATCCATAAGCAAATATGTTTATGCATGTGTTAATATTCCTACAGATTAATCAATGTGTATATTCATGTTAATGACCATATATACTATATACTGTCACAGTGTAGTCATAGAGTTTATATTTAAAATAACAAAAGTCCTGCAAAAACAAAACAAAACAAAACAAAACCACTAAAATGGGACTGATCCTGCAAACATAGAAATAATTAGTCCTTGGTATTAACTGAATGGGCTTACCACGCTTTTATTCTCTTGTACATTAAGTGCATGTTGCTTCACAAGAAACCAAAGACAGGAGCCTTGATTTTGGTTTTGTATCCACTATAAATGTGATTAAAATCAGGCTGATGGTCTCCATCTTAAGGATATTAAATCCTGCAGACACCAAGCAAAATGCTTCTAAAAGATACCACAAGATATATCTCTGGTGTATAGAGATAAGGGGGTTGGCAAAGAGAGGAGAGGGAGATTCATACAGAATAAAATATTTTTATCGGACACTGTATTAACTCCAGATTTTGTTCTGTTGATGGAAGAGTAGAGACCAACACTGAATATCTTTCCTTTTTTAAGAAAGTGAAATACGATGGTAGGGTTAAACTGCAAAATTCAGATGTATGTTTTGGAGAGATTTTATTTCTATAAAATGGAAACTTTGAGTCCTGTCAGATATTCTGGAGCCAGTTTTCACAGGGGCTCCCTATGCTGCTAGAGAGCTGCGAAACAGCAGTAGGATAAAAGAGAGAGAAGTATTTGCCTACAGCTCGCAGCCCTGTGCAAAAGTGGCATGCAACTGGAATTGAAATTGTGGTATCAAGCTTAGGCTTGATTCAACAGTATTTATGCAGGCAGGGTTTCTGAAAGTCAGTGAAAAAGTGTCTGAAAATGGATTCCTGTATGACTCGCAATTTCTTTGCCATGTATATTGTAAAATCCTGTAATGGCAAATAACTCGGGTATTTCAGTCACAGTGAAACACTTGTACAATAGACTACGTTTATACCTCACTGTCCTCAGTTCACACAGACTACACTAATCTAGGAACTGGCATTAGTAGGCACTTTATATAGACAAGTGCCTATGAGTAAAAAGCAAATGAAATTTTCAAGTACTCTTTGACAACTGAAGAGAGAGCTTGTTCTTCACAGAATTTGAACTGCAATGAAAAAAAATAATCTTTTCTTGTTTGTTACTATTTAGGCATAGACTGTGTTTTGGAGAAGCCAGAAAAAAAATATGATGTGCACTCTCGCTTAACCAAATATCCCCAGATGTCCCCAGTTATATAAGTCTGGCTTAGCCATACCAACCTTCCTGGATGTGACAGACATTAAGACACTGTGTTTCTCATTCCTAAGAATGCCCCTCAGTACCTTTTTTGGGTCAACATCATGTTTGTATTCTAAATGCTTTTCCCTACATGCAGCAGCCATATAGATGTTACTCATCAGCTAATGGGATAGTGGCTTTGTAAAGGAAATTTTCATGTAATATTGAATAAAGAATTCAATTTCCAAATTTGTTTTATAGTGGTAAACATAACAAAGAATGGTGCATCAGTAATTTGATAGTTGTACCATACTGCAATAAGCAATTATATCATTGTTTACTTTGAGTTTCTTCCTAATTTCTTTTCACAATGTAGCTGATCCAGCCCCTACTGTTTAGTGTGGATGTGCTCTTGATAGAGGTTGTCTTCTTTGCACTTTGCAGAAGAGTCTGTTATGATGGGGAAAGATTTCTTTTGATGCTCTAAAAGCAACTATATCTTCTAAAAGCCATTAAACTCTCAAATACATTGGGAATACTTTATTTTGCTATTTCATTCAACCAACGTTAATCTTCAGTCATGAGCTGGGAACCAGTGTTCGGGGGTCACCTGAGAAAAAACTGTTCCAGAGCACTGGCTGTGAAATTATTTTATACAGAATGTAGATTAATGTCATCTACCAACTATTTTTAGGCAGGTTTGAGCTAAGCTTTAGCCTAGTTTTTATGTTACATGATTATCTGTATCAGTCCTGTTTTGAGATTGGTCTAGCAGTGTATATGAATTCATTCATTTTGCTGCTTCTCATCTGCTGTGTTTTTTTTGATTCTTGTCCTTTAATAGCTGTTTCTGGCATAACTTAAATGAAAAACCCTCACTTATAGAGCATTCTACAAAAATCTACAAAATTTATCTGTAACATTATGTCCCTGCAATACTTTTCTCTGTATTTAATTTACACTTTTTGTGTTAGGGACATTCTTTTACTCTGTTTGAACACTGACTTTAATAAAGGTTTAAACACTCAAATGCTGTTAAATCTCTATGTGTTAAATCTCTCCCATCATACCAAAAACTCACATACCAGAAAGAAAAGTTTTGGACTGTAACAGATACTCAGTGTCTTTTCTTTATTCATACATAGATACCAATCCTCTGCTTTTATATTTTTGTACTTTTTCACTTAGCAATTTGAAATGCGTGATGAAAGTGAAGTCTCCAAAAGAAATCTCTGAAGACAATCCTGTGTTAATATATTTGCTTTATGTGAAAAGTGGTTTTGCAGTTAGCATGGCAGTGTGGTCTGGGGAATATGGGTCAAACCACTCTTTGGGGTCTTCTGCCTCATTGTTCCATCTGCAATACAAGGACCACAGCAGTGCCCCCCTTACAGACACTTTATGGGGACTAGGTCAACTCTGTGACCTGGTGGATACTGTCACTGAGGCCATAGTAGTTTCTTTTATTAAGATAATGATATATACTGAGGTTAAGTGACTTG